TTTGCAGTTTCCAAGGACTCTCAAGCTAAGGAAATAACTCATTTTTGGCGCCTATTTTCCCCGTTAATTTTACCTCTAAAACCAGTTGACCCCCACCTCCTTCATTCGCAAGTATCTCGACTTCTATTAAAAATAAATGAATGTTTTTTTCGTCCGAAGCGAGACAAATGACCAAGCTTTAAGATGATACCAATACCTCAACATACCCAAATATTGACAAGAGCCTGATTCCACCATGCTGTGACACATATGTGTATTTCGTACTGTGTACAGAATCGAGAATATGTAATACATGTGAATAACGTCGTAGCTTGCATCTGTCTCATCGGCAGAGTGGAGAACGTTCGCATCCAGCGCGATTCGGAAGTGGCACAGCTCCAGGAGCGAGTGTCTGGGTTCCAGTCTCAGTTTGAGGTGGCCAGCGAGGAGAGAGAGGCCAATGTGAACCAAATCAATGCGCTCAACAAAAAACTGTTGGAGGCTAACAAGGAGAAGGAGGCCGCTTACCGCAAGTGTCTGAAAGAGGTTAGGTTTGTGTAGGTGTGTGCGTGTGTGTTTGTGTGTGTGTGTGTGTGTGTATGTGCTTGTGTGAGTATGTATGTGCTCAACAAAAAACTGTTGGAGGCTAACAAGGAGAAGGAGGCCGCCTACCGCAAGTGTCTGAAAGAGGTTAGGTTTGTGTGTGTTTGTGTAGGTGTGTGCGTGTGTGTTTGTGTGTGTGTGTGTGTGTGTATGTGCTTGTGTGAGTATGTATGCGCTCAACAAAAAACTGTTGGAGGCTAACAAGGAGAAGGAGGCCGCTTACCGCAAGTGTCTGAAAGAGGTTAGGTTTTTGTGTGTTTGTGTAGGTGTGTGCATGTGTGTTTGTGTGTGTGTGTGTGTGTGTGTGTGTGTGTATGTGCTTGTGTGAGTATGTATGCGCTCAACAAGAAACTGTTGGAAGCTAACAAGGAGAAGGAGGCTGCCTACCGCAAGTGTCTGAAAGAGGTTAGGTTTTTGTGTGTTTGTGTAGATGTGTGCGTGTGTGTTTGTGTGTGTGTGTATGTGCTTGTGTGAGTATGTATGCGCTCAACAAGAAACTGTTGGAGGCTAACAAGGAGAAGGAGGCTGCCTACCGCAAGTGTCTGAAAGAGGTTAGGTTTGTGTGTGTGGATGTGTGTGTGTGTGATTGTGAGTGTGTGTGTGCGTGTGTGAGTGTGAGTATGTGTATGCGCTCAACAAGAACCACAAGTGTCTGAAAGAGGTTGGGTTTGTGAGTGTGTGATGCGTGTCGGTGTGAGTGTTTGTGTGTGTGTATGTTTTCTCTGATTGTGAGCGTGTGTATGTGCGTGTGTGAGTGTGATTGTGAGTATGTGTATGCACTCAACAAGAAACTGTTGGAAGCTAACAAGGAGAAGGAAGCTGCCTACCGCAAGTGTCTGAAAGAGGTGAGATTTGCTCGCGCGCATGTGTGTGTGTGTGTATGTGTATTTTTATTTTAAAAATTTTGTTCTTTGGCTCTTCGCCTTTTTTTGTCCATTTTGCTGAAAAATGTTGCTTAAAGGCACAAAAATTATAAATTTTTAGTTTCCAAAGATTCTCAAGCAATGGATGTCGCCTTACTTTGACGGTCGTTTTCTCGCTAATTTTTCCACTGGAACTAGGCAACCCCCACCTCCTTCAATGGCAAATATCTCAACTTCAATTTAAGACAGATCTAATAGGTATGTTCTTTCCTGGAAGCAAGACAAAGGAACAAAGGACGATACCAATAACTCGACCTGCCCAAAAATTGAAGAATGCCTGATTCCTCCGCGTCGTGACACGTATATTTCTATGTCATTTCCCGCTTTCTGCCTTCAGGTGGCGCTGATGGAGCAAGACCAGCAGGTGAAGACGCGCGACCTTGAGATCCGTCTGCAGACGACAGAGGACACGAGACAGCAGACGGTCTCAGAGCTAAGGCGCCTGCTCACTGCGCAACAGAGGATGAGTGCCAGGTGAAACAACTTTGTGTGTGTGTATGTGTTTAGATATTTAAAACTTCGTATACCCTAAAATTGCAACGCGCCCGATTCCCCCGCGTCGTGACACATTTGTAGGAGAGGCTAACGGTAATGACTTATGAAAGTATTATGATAACTCGTCCACAACATTAGGGGCTGAGGATATATGAAAATTATTTAATTTATGGCAATGCATCGATCAGTGAGAGATTTTGCGTGGCCGTATTGGTAGACAAAACATCACGACCTCCGTGTTTTCTTGTCCTTTCTCCATTTTTAATAACTGTGAAAACATTTCATAACAAAGAGTGAGCTTAACCCTATCCGTACGTCGTGTTTCACTATCATATCCATACGACATGGGGAACTCTGTGCCACCACTTTCAGAGAGGAAATTTACTCATTAATCCGATCTGTACGCTTTGCTTGGTATTCTGTCAAAATGATTTTTTGAGAAATACTGAAAGTTTCAAAGAGATATTCACTCTAGAAGTATTCTAAAATGTGAAGAATACAACCCCGGGGGTACAAAATGACCCTAGGCCAAAGTTGAAAAGAATGTAGATAGGACAAGAAAGCACTGAGGTCACGACATAGCGATGATAGCTGTGGGTCAGATGGTTCAATCTTCTGTTTGTTGATATTGTTCCTCATTTTGCCTGCAGGTGGAAGGAAGAATGCCAAACCATCAGGCACAAGTTTGAGGGGAAGCTCACGGACTGCCGGGCCGAGATGTCGCACGTGAAGAAACGCAACGAGGAGTTGACCTCTCTGCTCAAGGACAGTCAGGCGAAAACGGCTGAGGTGAGTGCAGACACAGCCATCCTCCACGCTCTCAAATACACATGATACAGACTTATGAACACACACTGTTGACAGACTTTCACACATGATACACACTCACAGACACGACCATCCTCCACACTCTCAAATATACAGTACAGG